GCTAGAAATTTCCTTAGTATTCAAGACAACCAGGAAAAAAAAAAAAAACCCAGGGCTTTTACAAGTAACTTCCACATGTTCTCCCATTAACGTGTCAGACTTGGTTGGGTGAGTGGGCCTTATACTTCTGGGATTTATTAGGCCTGTGCCTTTACTATAAAATAAATATAGGATTTCAAGACTTAACGTACACTATCAATTTCTCCCTGTTGATTACATGTTCAAATTACAATATTTGGATACACTGGGCTAAATAAAAATATACTAAAGTAATTTCACCTGTGTCTTTCCTTTTTTATTGATGTATGGAAACATATTTCAGTGCATCATTAAAAACCAACATGTATATATAATATTAAGTTAACCACTAAACTTGAAATTATATCCTTTACCATACAGTTGACCCCCTTTAACTGATTTACTGACTTCCCTTTCTTCATTCCCCATACAATAACCTATTTTTACTTTATTTATGCGTAGAAGAACAGATGTAGGCCAGAGGTGCAGGGGGTGAGAGGATTCACCAGAGCAGAGTGGGACGCAGAACAGGTAGGTGGACTGAAGTACACTGTTGAAGGGAGCAACAGGAGAGGTCTGCTGTCCAGATTGGAGAGGTCTGCTGAGCCTTATGGGTCAACTCCCTGGTGGGTTGGGGGGTGGGGGTGGAACTCAGGCTGACTCTTAACCCTTAGTGAACCGGGGAGGCCCTATTTTTACATTTTTTAAAAAAGATCTATTTATTCGTACAGAACTGGGGTACAGGCCAGAGATGCGGAGGGTGAGAGGATTCACCAGAGAGAGAGAGTGGGGTGCAGAACAGGCAGATAGATGAAGTACACCGCTGAGGGGAGCAGCGGGCGGGTCAGCAGAGGTCTGCCACCCAATGTGGATCTCCTCCAGGGTAGGCAGGGATCGAACTCATGCGAAAGTGGCTTTAGCTTCTTAGTGCAGTGCTTTAACCTGCTGCGCTACCAGGGAGGGCCCTATTTTTACATTTTTATTGTGGCTACTAGGAAATTTTACACTGCTCATGTGGATATTTCTATTAGTTGACCGGAATGGAGTGAACAGTATTCCCTGCAGCTTCTGGCCAGCGGGGAGTGCTTAATAGTGGTGAATATGCAAGGATTCTCAGTGTCCCTGTTCAGAGTCTTCCATCAAGCTACATGTTTTTCTCCTTGTCCACTCATGGTGTGGGGCTTGTATTTTGACTATCAGCAAATTCCTATTTATTCAACACTTTGAGTTCTATGTGGGTGTCTGAGCAGTCACAAGCTAGATCAAAGCTTTGTTTTTTCAAATGCAAGTTATGACATATTAAAGGCATCCTTGCTTCCTTGTTCCCATCCAACCACCCATCAAACATTTCAGTTTTATTTTTAGGTCCTGTTCATCCTGCCAGTTTTCTCACTAATTTGCTGAAGCAATGGCATAACCAATGTGGTCATTCTTAGGAAAACTACCAAAAAAAAAATGGTAGTTATGTGGACTAAAAGAGAAAGTATTTATCAAATAGAGGACTTTTAAAGTAAAAGGACCATATTTTAATAATAAACTATGATTTATTGCTCATGCAAAGTTTACACAAAGTGACTCTTTATGAATCATGCATTTGGGTTCATTTTGCTTTCTTCATAATACCTGGCTTAGTGTGGAGTGCACAGACACTCAGTATTACAGTGTATGGACTCCACACTTAAGCTCAGAAATAAACCATCATTTCATACTTTCCAAGCAAGTTATTTTCATCATTACCCTTTAATGCTTTATAGTATCTTATTCTTGATATTATTTTTAAAATTAAACTCTGGGAGAATCCTTTTGCAGCTACATTGCTAAACATATCTTTTTTACTTTAGCTATTTAAAAATTTACTTATGCATACAAAGCTGGGGTACAGGTCTGAGGTACAGGGGTGGTGAGAGGATTCACTAGAGACAGAGTAGGAAGCAGAACAAGCAGATTAAGGAAGTACACTGCTGAGGGGAGCAGAGGGTGGGTCAGGAGAGGTCTGCTGCCTCATGTGGATGGAGGGGGACCAAACTTGTACTGAAGGTACAGAAGTGGCTGCAGCTAGCTTGCAGTGCTGTGCTTTAACCCCTTGCACCACCAGAGAGGGCGCAATATTGGCAAATATTTCTGAATCTCTTTGTATCCCAAAAGAAAGTGAAACTTTTTCTTTCATTGAATTATTCATTTATTTATTAACTCAGTAATATTTGAGTCTTCTACTCTAGGTGAAAAGAAACAGTATTCATAGGATAATCATAATTTAAGGTTAGCTCAACATGTTCCTCATAGATTTCTCTTTCAGCAAAAATCTTTGCCCCCTCCCAACCCAGTATTTAGCAAATGTTTGCAAATGCATGAATTCTCTTTCTGCTACTGTTCACATAATCTTGTATGCACGGTCTGAATGCATCAATTCAAGTCAGATGGAGCCAAAAGGAACACAACGTTCTTAACAAATGAAGGGGAAATTAGTGGTACATCAATAGATTCAGTACTTACAGTAACTCCTAATATAGGGTTGTTGTGCTTTAAGAATGCCCAAGAGATGGGTTTACTTAAATACAGAAAAACCTGGGCATTATAAATCACATTTGATATGCAAGCAATCATTTAGCTCCGTGAAAGGGAAAAAAGCTAAGGAGTCTTATCTATTTTGTGTTATATTAATATTGTAATGATCCTGGCTCACCATGTTGTTTTATGTATTGACATTGTAATGACTATGACTGACAGATATTGGGGACAATTAAAACAGAGCATAGCAACTTATCAACCACTTGTTTACGAAGGCATGATAAGACAGGCTGTTAAAAGCAAGGACAGATCAAAATTTGGCTGCCGAGAGGCCCTGCCTAAATAAAAAGTAACAAGTGGTCATAAGAAACCTATGAAGAGTGGCATCAATATAAGCACGGGTGTTGTGGCGATTTGAGATGCAGATGGCTTCATGCCCAGGGTTCCCAGGCTGCCTGGGTTTTAGCCCTCAGAAGGTGCATTCTATCCTTCATGCAGATGAACTGATTCCTGGAGCTCTCTGCCCACTCTGCCCTGCCAGGCTCCAGAGCTTTGCCATGAGGCTCCTTACCTTTTCCCCCTTTTGCTAGCAATTTCAGTGTATGTATATATTATTGCGATGTTGAATTCTCTCCAGTGCATTCACATTGTGATTATATTCAGTTGGCTTGAGTTGTGAAAACATCCCACTGAGCACTTAACCAGATAAATCATTTAACTCCAAATCCCATGTTTTAATTTTGAGAAGGAAAATGTAGTGATTGAACTCATGCAAGAACATGGCCTGGGCCTGCTAAAACATTCAAAACAACCAGATAATTACAACTTTTCGAAGATTTAAGTTGTTTCTCATTGCCAATCTTAGTGGATCTCTTACTTCCCAATCTGGTTGTACTTGTGCTGTCCATTACAGCATCCACTAATCATATATCAAATATATTTACATTAGACTTCCATCCTACCCAACTTTCCTCAATAACAGAGTGGGGTTGGGTATAGTTTTCAGTTATTTTACTGCATGGTCATAAAATATGTATTCATGACCTCAGTTGTACTATTTATATATACAAGACTGGGTAAAAGTTTCAACAAATTCAAGCAGACAGCATGTGAAGACAACTAACATTTTATAAAAAAAAATCATGTATAAAAATCTGGTACAATCAAGGGCATTATTTTGGATTAAAAATCAATTATTACCTTAGCACTAACTACAAAATCAAACAATGGAATTCATTTTCTGAGTATTTATTCTAACTATACCTTGGTACACTACTGAACTGGTAAGTGGGAAGTGCAGAGAAATGTTTTTGATACTTTGGTGTTAGGGGAACATGGTGACACTTATAAACTTCATGTCACACTGAGATATTGTTTATCATCATAACACAGCGAACATGATCGATCTGTAGTAACTGCAGCTGAGACCACATACACATATTGGGGTGACTGATAAAAGTTTTATTGCTTTCAAAATGAATAACCCTTCATCTTAACCAAAAGCCCTAATAAAGAAAATCAGACACATTAAGTTTTACACACTACTTTGACCGGTATTTGTAACCTGAAGCTCTCTTCAGGGATATCTTTCTGGTTTGCAAAAGCTGTGAGAACACTAACATCATGAGATCAGTTACAGGAAATATTGAGCCCTAAAATGTCATGGTCTCATAACTTATGGGGGCATATGGACCTGATTTAACACATCATATGCAGATCAGATCATATTCAAGTCAGCTCCAAGTATTTCACACATGCATAAGCAAAGAAGCTATTGTATCCCCAGTCGGATAAAGCTTATGGGTAGACACTGAAATTTGGCAAATACAACTATGGTGAGGCTAAGGCCTCCATCCCACAAATAGTTAGATATGGTGCAATCATGGTAGACAAAACCAGGATAGACTCAGTTCAGTAAGTGAAACTGCCAAGCTACCAAGTTTTTCAAAGGAAACTTCCACACAATTCATTTGCCCAGCAGGAATAAAATAAATCTTAACTGATATATTTTTATCTAACCCATGGCTGAAAATTTTATTAACTGGATAACATGTAGTTAAGTGGTATTTTGTTCTTAATCGTCAACACTCCAATTTCAGTATCTGCATAGAGAAGTAAAGAGAGTTACACTGAAATTTGTCTACTGAGAGATGATACTAAATTAGCTGCCAGGAAAACTATTAACCTTCATTAGTCATTTTCACTTTTTCTCTCAGGGATTTCAACTTTAGCTTCCACACTCTGACTGGGAACATTTCCTTTGTTGCTCGTTTGAGAAAAGAAATCCCTTGGTTGTTGGAAGGTTCAGAACATACACCAACATTAGACATAAACACATAGCTAAATTTTACTAGAATTACAAATTTACTAGAGATTTCATTTGCATATCTTAGAAGACCAAAGATATGTTAAAATTAACCCATCAGCAAAGATTTTTATGCAGATTTTTAATGTTCATAAATTAGAATTTATCATATAAATATACCTTTTTAATTGCAAAATTATTATTTCCAACATGTTTGAAATTCTCATGTGCTTTAAGGGCAAAAACCCACCCTATTTAAAAATACACTAGTAAACTTAATTGTGCAATTACACCAATGCCACCAAGCTAAAAAAGAGAAAAAACTTACTGTTGTGTTGGGTATGTAGTTATTACAAATAATGACATCACATGTCTTATGCAAGCTCGTTCCACTTTATCAGTCATTCTCAGAACCATTTGGGGGTACGAAAACCAGTGCATCATTGAAAACATGTCCAAACGCCCTAAGACGGTATACCCCATACATCATCACATGCATCTGGTTAGGAGTCAGTCCATTAAAAGTGACAGCCATATCTGAGCAACATCCTTCTACTACCAAGTTGGGGTGATTAGCCATTGCTTCTTTAATAAAAAGCCCAACACTTTTGGTATTAAATACATCTTTTCCTTGAGAATCTTCTGCATTTTCTGCCAACACTTCAGCATATTTCAGGCAGACTGCCAGCTGCTTATCTTCAGATAACTTCCAAATCATTCCTCCCTGTTCAGGACACTTGTCAGGGACACTGAGGAGTTGGTTCAGCCTTTTCATTGATTCAATACTTAAGACAATTCCTCCTTCCACACTCACATATTCAAGTTCACCAGATTTTACAGTGTGGCCTAGATAGAAAGGTTGTGATGGATCCTTTTTTAACAAAAAATACTTTAAGTTTTCAATAATAGCGAATGTACTGGGGCATGCCAGGAAGAACCAGTTGTATTGGTCTTTATATTTCTCAAAGGCGTACTTGTAAGCTTTTCTCATCATTAACCACATGTCATTTGTTTCCATGTTAATTGACTCAAACACTTTAACATTTTCAGAACTGAAGAACTCTGCTTTGTCACAGTGTTTGGTCCAAGTTTCCTTCACTGCAGCCCAAAGACTCACATCTTTGGGTTTTACAAGGATAATACAGTACACTCGAAAATTCTTGCTGATCTCCATGCGTTCAGCCTCTGAAATTTTCAGGATATCTTCTTTATTAGGAGCTTGAAGGTGATGATGCTCGTGGGGCATTCTATTTCCATGACCAATTTTAATGTGTCCTAGCATAGTGATCAAGGCACAGAAAATGCTTCCAAGCATCACACCCTTCAAAAACGAACTGCTTTCAGAAAGCATTTTTCCTATAAAGAAGAAAAAGACCCTTAGGATACTTAATAGACAAGCATTAGTTTAATGATTTGTTATTCCTTAAATACTTACATTTTGCTCTTAAATTCAGAAAAAGGTTCTGAATCATCAAGTATGTACCAAGTTCGTTGCATACGGTACCAAGGAGTCTAAAAATCTTTAGCTTCAATGGTATCTGATTCCTGTTCAGTGTAAACTGGAACTTTGCAGCAATATCTCTAACAAGTAGAATTTTCTGGGAGGCTATTTTTGCACTTGATCTATGGGGATTTAATTAACCAAGTACTAAATCAAACCATTAACCCTAGAAACCAATGTTATAGGGGTAATATATCATTCTCTTTAAAGGAATTTTGTTTCACAAGTTTGCATTATATTATTTAAATACCTTTATAGATATAAATGGACTTTTATGTCAAAACCTTAATTCAAATAGGTAAAAAGCACTTACAAATGGCAAATCACCAATGGTGTCTATGCTGATATTTCTGTTCCCAACCCAGTGCTTTAAGTGATGACTGCCATCTTTAGGTGTTCTGAGTACAGCCAGTCCTAGAAAAACTTTTGCTATAACCTTGAGAGGACTAAAATATAATCATGCCTGATGTTGAATAAAATATTACTCGAGGACCTGCTTTCATGACATTATGTCATTTTATTTAAAGTTATAGGTTCCCAGAACCTATAGTTGACATTGAGGAGTGACTGGCTTCTAAAGCAAATTTTTAGAAATTCAGATCATATATGTTACTAGTCATCCCTTTGTTCCTAAGACTAAATGCTTTGTAACACAGTATCTAAGCTAATTAATGTAATAAAAGTCTATCATGAAAATAGTTGTTCAGATAAGAACTGACTCAATATAGGTTCATCCAGAGGCCCATTAATGAACATTTTTATTTTCTCCAAAGGCATTTTCTTATCCTCTGAGAAAACAAAAAGGGAAAAATCTTTTATTTCAACTAGAAATTAAAAGAAAAGCAAACACTAAATACAATTTTTGAGAGTCTCCCAAAGTTTCTTCTATGTTCACAAAGGATGTTTTACTGACTTACTTAAGAACTTCTTTCCCTTTGTCTCCTAAATTTGAAAGAAGCCTTAGAAAATTCATAATGTCATTTGTCTCATTTTATGGATAGTGGAACAAACAGTCCACAGCAATTAAGTAAATGATCCAAAATCATGGAGTAAGTGGGAGAATTTAACTAGCAATCAGATCCCTTGACATCAGTTAAGGGTTTTTCAACTACAGAATAACAATCTCAACAGTGCTTCTCCCCATATTATTGAAAATTTAATAAGTGAGCTGCTGAATAACCTTGCTTTCCTACAAATGAAAAAAAAAAAAAGTTGGACCTGTTAATCGTCATTGACACTTGCACCGAACATCACCATACTAAAAAGTAAGCATTCTTAGGGTTTCTTCTGGAGGAAATAGACTGTGATTTTTACTAAAAACATAAGGTGTGTCCCAGTTTGGCAAATACAACTTCTGTATGTGTGGAGAAAGGCAGGACAGTTGGCCTGTATCACAGTACTTGGTCAATACAGGAAGATGTAAGAAAGAAGAGAGAACTGACAGGGAATGGACAACGCTTATTATTAGAATTGTCAGAGGCATTCAAATTAATTTATATATATTGATGCAGAATTTTGGCATTTCATCTTAAGCAACTTTTATTATTTTTGGCAAGTATATAATTCACACCTGTCTTTTAGCTTGATAATGGTTTATGTAAGTCAGAATTCTTTTTCATGAGGATACCTCTAATGGATCTTTTGCATACATTATGTTAAGGATCAGATTTTTTTCCAATCGGAAATACCATAAAAATAAAACATTGGAGATGAACCTGATAGGCAATATGATACACAAGAGAGGTAAACTTAAAACTACACACGGGCACTGGCCAGAAAGGCTGTTGGGATGAATCTCTCTAGAAGGTGGAGGTGGCTGGGGTGGGCTATGGGAAAGAGGACTGAGAAATGGTACAGAAGATCCCTTTGAGGGGAAGCAGGGAAAGCGCCTCTAGGAAGGTGGTTTTCGGTTCCTCTCATTCACTGTTCCTCCCTCTACACCTGTCATTAGGGCACCCCGCGTGGAGCATGCTGGGAGTGGGTCAGGGCCCAGACCTTTCCCAGGAGAGGGGCGGAGGTGGCCCGCTCCCGGGCCCCACCGGGGTGCAGGCAAGGTAGGAGCACTCACCCGCATCTACCACGGCTCAGGGGCGGGGAAGCGCAGCCACGCACGCTTTCCTCTCACGTTAGCGCACCACTCGGTTGCGCTCCTGGTTCGGCTGCTCTAGATGCAGGCGGTGTCCTCTCGTTGGTTTCGCAGTTGGTGGGTAGCAGCAGGAAGCCGACGCCGTGACGGCCGCGAGGGGCGGGGCGTGGCGAACGAGCCCCCGCCCGCGTACACGTCACGGACCCGCGGCACTTGCTGCGCGCCCTTTCTCCCCGCCCCTCGCCGAGGTCAGGTCGCGCGTCTGGCTAGCGTGACCCAAACGCTCACCGGCACCCAGTGGGACGCGGGGAGAGGCGTGCGTGCCTCCGACCCTCTGACCCCTCCTCTCCCTACACCTCTCTGGCGTGGAACAGCGGGAGCTTTGGCGAGTAGCTGTCAGCCGTGCCTGTCTCAAGTCTTTCAGTGATTTCTCTGATATTGTCCTGCGTCACTGCCTCCGCCTGTTGACGATAGGGTGCGCCGCGCAGTACCCCTGGACAAGGACGTAAATGCCACTGAAGTAATAGTCATCGAATTATGAGGGCAAAGATTCACTGTGTTTCCTGGAATGGCATCGGAAGCCCCAGTGTCTGAAATCCAATCCTATCTTTATTGCATCCTTTGATGTGCTGGGAAAGTTACTTCACCTCAGTATGACTCCGTTTCCTGCTTTGAAAGCACTGTCCCTGACACCGAAGATTAAGTGAGGTAGTGCACATGACTCCTTTTTAGCAAAGGACGAAGCATAATAGGTATTCATGATATGTCAGCGGTTATTTTTATTCACACCTGTATCGTTATCACTTAGCTTAGTGCTAGCACAACATAAACAATACATTTTTTTAATTAATGAATGAAATCTTAGTTTACCAGATGAGAAAACAGAACCAGGCAGGGTAAGGAACTTTCTAAAGATCAGTCATTAACAGCAGAGTTGGGACTAATGTGTAGCTCTCCTAACTAGAAGGGCAGAGCTCTCTGCTAAACATGTGGTCTATTAAAATTCTTCTTCTTCTTCTTCTTTTTTGGTGGCAGGTAGCTTTTTGCTAAAACACAAATTCTTAAAAGTTTTGAAATGTGCCATCATCAGGTTCCATCTAAGTAACATTGAGTAGTGACTCACTGAGCTTGACTCCCCAAAGACACATCTATTTTAGTATTGACTATAACTCACTTTAAATAGACTGAAGGTTTCAGGAAATACTGAAATGAGGAATGAACATTTTAGGCAATTACATCCTAGCATCATTACCTTAAAAACTGGCGATACAGTAGTTAACAAAATGAGCCCTCTCCTCATGGAGCTCAGGCTGGCCGGGACCAAAAGCAAACAATTACATTTTAATGGTTATAATGGTATGTTCTCTAAAGAAATAAAAAATCAATTTTATTTTTTATCCAAGATTTCACCTCTTCCCCCCCCCTTGAGTTTTATTGATTCACCCCCAGGTTTCATAACTATATATAATTTGGGGGGGTACAAGTTCACAGCTCTGTACTACCTGCCCTCCACCTGTTCTTCAGGGCTGCAACCCTATCTCTTTCCTTCCCTTCTCTACTTCTCCCTCCTCCAAAGGACTCTGGTAACCAGTGTATTTTTCACAGTTAGGAATTATTCTTGCTTTACTGGTTTCTTTTCTTTGGTTATTTATGTTCCATTAATGCCTTTTTTTTCTGACTTATTCCACTCATCTCAAGATCCACCCATTTTGCCCCAAAATGCACTATTTCATCTTTTTAATAGCTGAGTAGTATTCCACTTGGTACATTTTCCATTTTTAAAATCCAGTCATCTGTGTATGTACAGTTAAATTGCTTCCATGACTTGGCAATTGTGGACAAGACTGCTATGTGCATAGGCGTGTATAAATCTTTTTGAGTTAGTATGTTCATATCATACGGTGTTCTATTTTTAGGTTTTTAAAGAGTTATTTATTTATGCATAGAGAGTGTATGCATAAGTGCAGGGGTGGGGCTGGGTGGAGAGGATTCACCAGAGACAGAGCGGGAAGCAGAACAGGCAGACTGACTGAAGTACACTGCTGAGGGGAGCAGCAGGTAAGACAGGAGAGATCTGCTATGCATGTGGGTCAGCTTCCTGGTGGGGGATCAAACTTGTGCTGCAGAGGCTGCAGATAGCTTCAAGGTGCTGCGATTTAACCGCTTACACCAAGAGGGAGGACCCATCCATTTTTAGTTTTTTAAGGAATCTCCATATTGTTTTTCACAGAGACTGCACCACATGGCTTTTCATCAATGACAGATGAGTGCTCCATTTTTCTCCACATCCTTGCTGACATTCGTTGTTTCCAGTCTTTGTAAGTCATTATCACAGAGGTGAGGTGATGTCTCATTGTTTTAATTTGCATACCCCTTATAATAAATGATGTTGAGCATTTTTTTCATGTCTGTAGGCCAACTCAATGTCTTTGGAGAATGTATGTTCAGGTCTTTTGCCCATTTTTTTTTTTGGACTGGGTTGTTGATTTTTATTGTTGAGTTTAATGAGTTATTTATATACTTTGGAAATTAACTTCTTGTTGGGTGGGCGATGTGCAGATACCTTCTTTCAATCTGTAGACTTTTTTTTTAATGGTGGTTTCTTTCACAGCTTTTCTTTCACAAAAGCTTTTTAGTTTGATATAGTCACGTGTTTATTTTTGCTTTTGTTTCCCTTTTCATTGGAGTTTGTGTCCCAAGTCCGTCTTTGAATTTGATGTTTGGGACTGTATCATGTATTTTCTTTTATGCATTTCCGGTCTTATATCCAAGCCTTTTATCCATTTGGATTTAATTTTTGTGTATGGGGCTAAGCAATGATCTCACTTCAGTCGTTTTGCATGGCTATCCGAGGTTCCCAACACAATTTGTTATAGAGGCTTCCCTTTCTCCATGGTACGGTTGTGGTTTCTTTGTCACAGATCAACTGTCCATATTTGTGTGGATTTCTGGACTATCTTCTCTAGGCCAATGGGCTGTGTTTCTCTTACAGAAATGAATTTTAGAGCTGGATAGTAACTTAATATTGTAGAGTATCTCCACTATATTTTGTTAAAATATATTGTCAATTGTCTACATATTATATATGCATATATGTGTATATAAAACTATATAGTTCAGTGAAACATGTTGAAGAATAATATGTATAGCAGTAGTATACCTTGTTGAAACAAACATAATTTTATGTGTGCACATGTTTGAGTGAGGAGAGTTCAAGAAGGTTATTCAGTAGGCTGTTAATATTAACTCAGAAGGCAAAGATGGGAGTGGTTGGTTTTGTCTTTATACATCCTCAGAGTATATCATGTTAGCAGTTACAAGAAGTATTTGTCATGTTTGAATTTGAATAGCAAATAAAGGAATCTTTTAAATTAAAGGGACAAAAGGAAGAGGGAAAGAAACCATTAAAAATATCTTTTAGGCCCTCCCTGGTGGTGCAGTGGGTTAAAGCACAGCACTGAGAAGCTAAAGCCACTTCTGCATGAGTTCGATTCCCGCTTGCCCCGGAGGTGACCACATGGCGCGGCAGACCTCTCCTGACCCGCTGCTCCCCTCAGCAGTATACTTCATCGATCTGCCTGTTCTGCTCCCCACTCTGTCTCTGGTGAAGCCTCTCACCGCCCCTGAGCCTCTGGCCTGTACCCCAGTTCTGTATGAACAAATAAATAAATCTTTAAAAAATATCTCTTTTAAAGAGTGCAGAGAATAGTTTCTCCTTGTAAAAGGAGACGAAAGGAAGGCAAATAGAACTGGCATTCAGAATTCAGAGACAGGACAGACAGGAAACAATTGAAAATATTTCTTTTTAGTACAGGAAGGTACACCAAACAAAGTACTGATAAAAGATGCTCTGACACCATACACCATTAGACTTTTTGAGATTAAAAGCACTATAAAATGAGAAGTTGTCTAGGAACATAGTTCTCTATTTAAAACTGGGCTTAAATATACTTAATGTTTGAAGTGAAGTGACTTGTAGTTAGTTAGGTGATTGCATTTAAAAACATCATTCCAAGGCCTCCATAGTGGTGCAGAGTCAAGTCTCAGCACTATGAAGCTATCCACAGCCAGTGCAGCAATGAGTTTGATCTCCAACCAGGGACCTAATCCACAGATGGTGCAGCAGACCTCTCCTAGCTTGTGCACTGCCCCCCTCAGCAGTGTATTTCAGTCCATCTGCCTGTTCTGCTCCCCACTCTGTTTCTGGTGAATCCTCTCCCCGCTCACTTCTGGCCTACACCCCAGCTCTTATATGCACAAATAAAAAGTCTTAAAAAAATAAAATAAAAACACCATTCCAGTTTGTAACCCTAATTTAAAAATACATGCAATTCATATCTATGAAAGTTAAGAATATTTAAAATGTTTGCTGTAGGAAACCCACTACTGTAAAGGGTAAATATATTCTGGTTTATAATAGCAGAACTGGAATGCATTCATCAATGAGAATGGTTGAATTAATTATGACACATCTATACAATGGGATATTAAGCATATTATAAACAGCTTATTTCACCAGCCTGCACTAAGCACACTAACATGCACTTTGTGCTAGAGGGTTGCTTTGAATTTGGTTGTCTTCTTGTACCCAGCAGGCAAGGCAAGAGTACATTCAAAACTAACACTGCATGTTCAGTAAAGCCTTTCTGCCAAGTGCATGTATGATTCAGCATGAGAAATCTTTAATTTCTAGTAATTGGTGATTTACTTTCATGTGAGCACTCAAATTTTTGAAATCTGCCGAAGGGCCTTTGGGAAATTAATATAGCTTTCCACAAGCGTTTGCTGGAATAATGAATATTGAATAATATCTAAAGTGTTTTATTTTCTGCATAGCATCTTTTTGGACAGTTAAAAATGTCTTCTGTGTTTGTCAGAATAAAGTACCTACCCAGAAGTTCACAACTGTTCTTCAATGAACAAATTCCCTTGTTTGAACAAACTTATTATTTTCATTTCCAAGTATAGCCTGGTCCTTAAATTAATATAATTTGTGTTTTCAGGCTCATTTATGCTCACGATCTTATTTCAAAATGTATTTCCTGGACCCTCCCTGGTGGTGCAGAGGTTAAAGACAGCCATCAAGCTGTCACCAGCCACTGCAGCACAAGTTGGATTTCCTGGAAGGGAGTTGTCCCATGTGGGACGGCG